TGCGTCGAAGCGACTCTGACTGCAGTATCATGCTGGCGGTGCGCCACGTGCTGTTCGGTGTTGCCCTCCTGCTGCTGTGCGGGATTGTGCCAGCTGTTGGGGCGTCAACTGACAAATCGAATGATTTGATGGCTGCTCTTCGGTCTGTAAAGGAAATTGCAAATGGTGCAAGAGAAACTGTGAAGGAGGTAAGGCAGATTGCAGAGGATGTAAAAAAAAGTGCGGATGATGTGACAAAGGCACTGGATGCCGCAAAAACTGCAAAGGTGGCGGCGGATGCGCTTAAACAAGAAGGTGAATCTGGTGTTAATGACGATAATGCTGCTGCCGTTAAACAAAAGGGGGAAGAGGCGGCGACACACTTAAAGAGCGTGAAGACACTTCTCACACTGGCGGTGGGATACTTAAGGGAAGGAGACGCCGCGAGTACAGCAGTACATGAGATGGCCGGGGCGGTTGGGACGAAAGTCAAAGGGAACTTGCAGTTTGGGGATGCCTCACTGACAGAGAAGGTGCAGCTGGTGGCGCAGCACGCAGAGACCACGTTGGCAGCGTTGGCGGAGGTAAGGAGTAAGCTGGGTTCTTCATTAGAGGTCTTAGTGGCCGCGTTGAAGAGTTCAACAAAGGCAGAGTCACACGCCGAAACGGCAAGAAATGCGGCGGATCTCGTGGTGGTTGTCCTAACAAGCAATTTGAACGGAATGGATACAGCTGGCAATAAGGAGGAAGCAAAGAAGCACAGTGTGGACACAGCACAAAGCGCAAGTGAGACACTAACCAGAACAGAAACTGCGAAAGAGACTATAATTTCGCTGCACGACACTACGAAGGCAATTGCTGCAGCTGAAGAAATGATGAAGTCTGCGGAAGCTGCAGAAAAGGCTGCAGACGATGTTATGGAACAACACAAGAAAGAAACATTGCAGTCAGAAAGCATTCAGGAAGGCACCTATGCACACCCGCCGCGAATTGAGCACGACAACACGAGGCCTGTTCAGGATGAAATGGATCAAGATGATAAAAACGATTATGTGGACCTTGGGTCACGAACGGAAGGGCACGAGGCAGAACAGCATCAAGTAAAACCAGACAAAAAGAAAGCAGTGGAAGCACCTCAGAATCCTCATGTTGGAGCGTCTGAGTCTCCTCTGCTTCCATCGAGCAGCGTTGTGAGTGCCGCGATGGGTGGGAGTGGCGGCACAGACGGCAGCGGCAGCGCAGGGTGGATGTATGCGCCGTCACTGCTGTTGCTGTTGGGTGCATTGATTGGCTGCTCGGTTTTCTGAGTCGTGTGTGGCGGCGAAACGACGATCCCACCGAAGGGGTTACAGTCGGCAANTCATTGCTTCACTACTGCTGTGGGACTAAGGTCGTCCCATGAGACTCTCGACATTATTCATTGGGCTCCATTATGTCGGTGAGGGCAGTGCCATTTCTTTTTTTATAAGAGGGCTTTGGTTTTCGAGGGAGTGTGCTTCATCCCTTAAATATCTTTTTGTAGTTACATGATTCTCCTCTTGCTTGGTGCGCTGTGGCGCATGTTGGACGCATTGTGTGATATGCCGGTGTGCTGGTGGAGTGCCACTCCTTACTGTGTCTCTCTCTGTGTGCGTTATCTGCTCTGTTGCCTTCTTCTTTGTGCATGCCCTATGAGCTCAGTGCGTGTTGGTGATGATGGTGCGCCTCGTGTTTTTTCTGCTGGCCCTCTCGTTGTGCTGCGCGTGTGGGTGCGTGACCGCTGCTCCTATTGCTGCCGCTGTGGCACAGAAAAGCTCGCAGGTGGGTGGTGACGGGTAATTGTGGTGGTGTCCGTTCAAGCCGTGCAAGCATGTCGAAGGGTTGAATGGATGCTTCCGAGTTTTTATAGTTTGTCGGGGCAGTTGCTGGCGTACCCCCCGGAAATCGGGGGAAGGTGCCAACAGCTGTGCGTCCCCGAGACGGCAGCGAAAGTTGGAGTGCGTTTAGGCGGACGCCAGTGGCGTGCTGAGGGACCCGCTCCGAGGAGCACTGCCCTCTGAAAACAACTCCCACTGTCCCACCCTCCCTTTGCAGGGACCGACTGTGGGACCGGGAACTCTCTCGTATGCCTCGCTCTTTCGTCCGAGAGGAGGCGTAGATGGCTTCGAACACCTTTCCTGGCCTTCAGCAACAAGGCGACTGAGTTCTGTCCTGCCTTTGCTGGTCAGACCAACGCGTCCAAACATTAGCCGGAAGGTCGCGAGAGGAACACCCCTTACAATGCAAGGTGCTGGGGACTGTGTGTTGACGGTGGTACAAGGCTACAAGGCATAATAGAAGGTTATACAAGTTAGGCGACTCTTGGCTTCCTCCGTCAGACAGGAGTACTAAGACTTTGCACCACGATAGGGTGATTGACACCACCAAGGGCCGCCGTTGGTGCAAGCTCTTCCCCTGCTTTGAATGCCGAGGGGAGAGGCATTGGTGGAGGCGCTCCGAAAATTGGTGGTGATCTCGAAAGACCCGATGCTGCGGTCGACGGGCTTGGTGAGGGAATGCTCTCTGCGTGTGGAAAACGTTGGGCACGAAGCGGGGGAGGGGACGGAGACTGAGGAAAAGGGACGAACCGGCGGCGCGCTGGGCACGAGGAGCGGAGAGCTCAGGCCAAGCACAGAAGAATCGGAAGACGAGCACGCAGCTCTCTGCGGTGATGCGAAACTGTCAACTGCTACTGCTGAATGGTGGGGGTGGTTGCAGCAGAGTGTTGAGGGCCAGCAATGCGTCTCTGGAGGTGCAATGAAGAGCAGCAAAGCGTCAAGCAGTGGGTGTCTGCTGGTGCCCGACGGAAAGGAGAGGGTCGGGGAGGCGACTCGGCGCAGGAGGGGCGTGCTGGATCGCGGGGGTGGGGTGAGCCAAGTGAGTGGCTCGCAGGTGCCGTGGAGGTACGAAGCTCTGCTCAACAGTGAGCCGTGAGGGACACGGCGCGGTTGGCAAGGGGGAGTCGATGTGTCTCGTGCAACGCCGTGACACACTACAGGGGTGCCAAAGAGGAGAGGGAGGTGAGGCGGACGAGCTCATTGTTGCTGCAGCACTTCCTCAGGCACACGGCGGCGCGCAGGGTCTGTTAGAGCGGCTTGAGAGGGCGACGCGGGAGCCACGCAAGTAAAAACAGGCGTCAAAGGTCAACCCGTCGTGGGTCGGACTTGGCCATTGCATCGCAGCATGTTGCCCGTGTCGATGTGTCCACGCAGGGAACATCTCCCAGCAGGAGCGTCGTGCCCTGGCGCTGCCGGTGTTCACGCAGGGGAAACGGGTCGAACCAATACCTCCCCGGATGCCGCTGCAAGAACCACAGCCTCCGTCACAAGATGGGTTACCCACAGTGTGTCCGGCTCTATTTCAGGCACTCATGCTGTGGACGTCTCTGCACAAAGAGCGACTGGAGTGGAAGGCACTGCTGTTAACGAGGCGGGTGCTGACGGAAGGAGGTCTCCACAGGCACGAGGTGCTCCCATTGCCGCTGCTTTGCTTTCTGCACCTGGATTTGGTAGGACCAGCGATGGGACACTCGCCGACTGAAATGCTGCCGGTGACGGTCGCTTGGCCTGTTTGGGTGTGTTGTCACCGTTGCCTGGAGCCATCCTATACGTATCACTGGAGTGAGTGGGCTGGGCACCGCCGAATAACTCACCCTGCTTTGTTATTTCCTATTGTGTTGAGGTAGGCGCGTCATGCTTCTCACGTTGTTGCCGTTTGTCGTACATAGGCCCCGGCTGCTGCTGTTTCCGCTCGGTGTCTGTGTGTGTCTGTTGGTGCGGCTGCTCCTTCCGCCGTGTCTCCTTCTTCGTTGTGGTGTGGGCACCGGTTGACGCTGGGGCGTGGTGCTCTCATTTGTGTGTGTGTGCTCTCGTGCGTGTGGTTGGGTATGCTGTGTGGGCTGCCCTCTAACTGATATCACTTGTTGGGTGGTTCACTGTGCTGCGGTGCACTGTGTTGGTGCCGTGTCCCTCTCGCTCTCTGTGTGTGTGCCACCTGCTGTGCTCCTCCTCTCCCCTGCAGACACAGGTGGTACCAAGCTACATTGACGCTGATGCTGCTCCACGTGCTGTGCGTGTTGGCCCTCGCGCTGTGCTGCTGCACATCTTTGTTTGTTACAGCAACTGGTACAACGGATTTGTCATCTACGACCGTTAACGCCCGGTTAACGTTGGAGGAGACAGTTGACGCTGACAGCTGCAAAGCGCCGACAACCTCAGCTACTGAGGGATCCAGAAAAGTTACTATCTCTACTAAGGCATTATTGAGCCATTCTTCTGGCCTACCAAAATTAAACGACGCCCAGAGCAGCTCAAGTAAGGAATTGGACGTTTCCGTTGGGCACAACCTAACTCTGGGCCACAAATGGGTTGTTGAATGTAAGAAAAAAGGCAACACTTTGTCTGACACTTATGAGCCGTGCTGTTCAGGCGGAAAATGTCCAGCTTCTGCAAAATACATCACCTATGTTTTGTCTGTGGTGACCACTGTAACTGGATACAGCACCAAAAGTATCATCAAGAGCGAACAGAGCTATGGGAAAGTTCCAGCTGGGTACGACGTGAAAATTGTCGGTGGGGCTGTGGCCACGTGCATCCCTACACCTCTAACCAAGCCACCACCGTCTAAACGGACTGCGCTTCCTCTCAAACCACAAAATGTATCGCCTGGTGACAAAGGCTCTAAGGAACATGCTAAACTACCTGCATCGCATTCACTTGAGAGTGATACCATCACAAGAGGAACAGGCAGTCGGGAGCCTCGCGCACAAGATTCACAACAACAATCTGGTACCACAGAGCATAACCCAGCCACCAACAGTGCAACGTCAAAAGATGAACCCAGTGATGGAGGAAAGGACAGTTCTCTTATCAACAAGGTTTCCACTCCACCTCTCACCGAAGAAGAGGCCAAAGAAGCCGAAAGCTCCGTCACAGTGAACGACGCCGCTCATACTGCCTCCACAGCCACACCTCAATCAGAGACAACCGCCGAAGAAGCTCCCAAATCTGACGTCGATATCCCCACTCCTGCCGGAGAGGGTGCGGCAGACAACAAGCCACCTCCGTCCACCAGTATCGTTTCGAATGGCGTGAACCTTCCTGACCGCAACACCGACGCCAGCAGCAGCAACACTGCGTGGGTGCGTAAGCTGCTGCTTCTGCTTCTGCTTCTGGCCTGTGTGGCTCTGTGGTAAGACCTGCGTGTGTGTGTGTGTGTCTGCATGGGACGATGATGTTTCCACCGTAATTGCGTTGAGTGCTGAGGACTGCACTCCTGATTGTTAAGATTCTTTTGTTTTCGTTTCATTGCTGCCCCGTTGTGGGCGTAACGCCGACCCACTTGCCCTCGACGACACGCACTGTGGGAAGGGGAGGCGTGGTTTCTTTTCTTTTCGTTTCTTGCTTGGGCTTTGCTTTGCGCGCTGCTGTGCGCCGCCCACTAACTTTTTTCTCCTTCTGGTAGATCCTCTTTTCATCTTCGTGTGTGTGGTGCCTGTGCGCACCTCTGCAGGCCAGCCCACTTGGCTACGGAGCCGACACGTTTCTTTTCCTTTCGTTTGGGTTTTTTTGAGTTTTTCTCTCTGTGTGGCTCGTTGTGCTCTACCACTAATGTTTTGTTTGAGTGATGTGTTACTCCTCCAGTTGTCCGTTGAATTGTGTGGTGCGCTGCTGCTCTCCTCTGCTGTGCTTGTGTACCCCGCTGTGCGTCCCTCCCCCTCTGTAGACCAGTGTGCCTCGGGCTGTGATGATGGCGGCGGTGGTGCGTCCCGCGTTGTTTGTGGTGGCCGTCGTGCTGTGCTGCGTGTGTGGCTGTGCAGCGGCCACTGCTGAGGGCATCGGTGACGAGGAGCAAGTGATTGTTGCCCTGCAGAATGCGAGGAAGAAAGCGCTTGATGCCCAGGATGCAGTGATTGACAGCAAGAAGGCGGTGGACGCAATCAAGGAAGCAACTGATAGCTTCAAGTCTTTGGCAGACAAAGCGTCAAACGCAGCCGCTGAGCTACATAAAAAAGTGAAGGGTATGAATGATGGGGAGACGAATATTGCTGGTGTGGACAGCTTGGCAAAAACAGCAATGGACGCGGCTAAGGCGTCTCACGAATCAGTTACCTCAATCGAAAAGAACGTTAATAAAGCAGTGGGAGTAACGACTAATGCAGGGAAGTTGTTAACGGAGTCGGAGAGGATGGCTGGCAGTGCAGCGGCAGGTGAAAAAGTAGTTATCAGCAGAGAAGCAGGACTCGTACAGGCGGCATTCAAAAGGCTATTAGATGTGTTGTCGGTACTGAAAGAAGTCCAGAATAGGGCTGAAGAGGCAACTAGTGCTGCGACGAAGGATGGCGCTGCTTTTAATGCAATGGGCAGCGGTGAGAAAGCGTACAAATGTGCCACTGATACGACTTCCTGTACACTGTCAGCTGCAGTCAAACAACTAAAGACGATTGCTGATGAAGCTGTGACGTTCACAAAGGCTGCAGCGGACCACGCTGAAACGGCTTCCAGTGCTGCCATCAAAGCATCTGGGCACGCTGCGAACGCTGTCAGCAGTGCTGAGTCACAGCTCCAGCAGATCACCGCTACGGTGAAGGTTCTTAAACCACGAAAAAAGGAACCTGCGGAACCGTCACACGACGAGTCAAACAGCCAGAGTCTACCACAGGTTCCATCGAGCAGTACTTCCACTGGTGATAAGCCTTCCGACCAACAACAAGCTGACACCACGGCAACCCACACAACGCAGTCAACATCAGTACCATCGGAGGAGAAGACAGCCACAGAATCCCTGGAAAACGCTGCTTCTCAAGCTGCTGATGCGCCACTGACACCTCCCAAGAGCGATGTACAAAACACCCTGAGTGATGCCCGGAATACCGACAGCAGCGTTTGTCCTCCGTGGGCGCGTACACCGTTGCTGCTGGTGGTTGGTGTGCTGGGCGTCCTGGCTGTGTGCTGACCTCTGTGTGTGTGCACACGGAGAGGACGCATACACCCTGTGCTTGTGTGTGCTCCACTGGAGATTGTTTACTAACATGTTTTGGTTTACTTTTCGTTTCATTTTTTTTCCGTTCGTTTGCCACGCGCCACGTAATCCCCCTTGGAGGATACTCCCTGTGCTCTGTATCCAACGAGGACGGCGCATCTCTCTCACTGCCGTAATGGGCTTTGTTTGGCACATCATTGTGCGCCGCTTGCGTGAGAGGGCCTTCTCTGAATTGTTCTTCTAAGTGTCTCATCACCTGTGTGTGTGTGTGTGTGCTGCGCCACGCTGCGCATGTTGGGCTGCTGCTGCTGTTGGGAGGTGGTCCGTGTGGTGCTGCTCTTCCCCCGGTGAGTGCGGGCCCCGCAGGCCAGCCCACTTGGCTGCTGTAGCTGGCACGTTTCTTTTTCTTTTTTTTTTTGGGGTTGTTGGGGTTTGTTTTTGTGTGGCTCGTTGTGCTCTGCCACTAATGTTTTGTTTGAGTGATGTGTTACTCCTCCAGTTGTCCGTTGAGTTGTGTGGTGCGCTGCTGCTCTCCCCTGCTGTGCTTGTGTACCCCGCTGTGCGTCCCTCCCCCTCTGTAGACCAGTGTGCCTCGGGCTGTGATGATGGCGGCGGTGGGGCGTCCCGCGTTGTTTGTGGTGGCCGTCGCGCTGTGGTGCGTGTGTGGCTGTGCAGCGGCCCCTGATGTGAGTGACAGAAAGCAGAGGAAGGAAGCAGAGGTGCATTTCCTGAATGTGGAGAAGAAAAAAGCTGTGTTGACTTACCTGAATGAGGCAAAGAAGAAGGCGCTAAAGGTTCAGGAGGCGGTGAAGGAGGCCAGGAGTGAGGTGGACGGGATCAAGAAAGAAAAAGCACAAATGATGGCTGAGGTTAACGAGGCCTCAACAGCTGCAATTGAGCTAAATAAAAAAGTGAAGATGGATACCAATCTTCAACGGGAGAATATTGGCATTGTGATTCGCTTGGCAGGTGATGCAGAATCGAAGTCTGACGTGGCTTACGAGTCCTTTGATGCGTTGCTGAAGGGTGTGGCAAAGATACTGAATAAAATATCGGAAGCCGAGAAGTTGGCTGGGGAGTCGGAGCTGGCGTCGAGCGATGCGGCTACCGAAGCAAATACAAACGTCGTCGCCCTTGCAGAGGAGGCATCAGAGAAAGCACAAGCGGTTATGAAATGGTTGTCACAGACACAGGATACCTACAGATTGGCACGGAACAAAGGTGCGTGGAAAGAGTACTCGCGGTATGCAGCGAAAAAGGCTAAAGAATTGTTGCAAAATGCCAAAAAGATAGGTGAAATGTCTTTCTACGGAAACCGTGAAAAGGAGACAGT